ACAATTCACAGCACATGAATTGCAATGGTGTAACCATCTACTGCTATTATACTATAAACACTTTTCTGTCTGCATCCCCCTCTTCCTCTGTTCAGAAATATCTGAAGTCACAAGGATATATGCACATGATGGGGAAGTGCAGTTGGTGCTCTGTGCATAGAGAAATTATTAGTTCTCGGTGCAGCAGAACACGCAACCTAAGTGTTCTGGGGCTGGAGGTTTGGTGCAAGTTCCTAACATGGCTCTATAAAGGTCTGTTTTATCATTCAGAAGTTCCTCATTCTAAAGCCACTGCTGGTCATCCCAGGTTTCCAAAATGATGTGATCCTACAACACTTATTTGTTCTCCTGCACCAGAAGTGACAGTCCACTCCAGGATATACTGTGGCAATACTGGCATTCACCATATCTATACTATATGAGCTAAATTACTTGTCATTTAGCAGCAAGGTCAGCAGTCTTTGATATGTCAAATTTCTGCCCAAATTCCACCTATCATCTTGCCAAACACCTACTCCACTGCATAACTGTTTATCCTGCAATAAGAAGCGGGAGCAGAAGCACATCATCATACCATTGCTCTGTCTTCCATCCACCTTGGCAGGGAATAACAGTGAGGGAAGATGTAATGAGGAACTGCAATTGACAGATTTGTGAAGGTGGGGGACAGTACCTGGAACACAGAACAAAGCAGTTTCTAGAGTCTCCCCCTGTCTGCACTGTGCCCTGGGATACCACCCCTGTAATAGTAACACTAATGTTGTGTAACAGTGGCAGTGTGGATGTGAGTAAACGCACGTAGCTAGCATTATATTTGTGTCCAGCACAGCATATGTGAACACTTGGCATAAGTATGGAGAGCATGCATGAGTATGTACATGTCTAGTGATTGAGTATGCATGCCAATGTAGACAGAACTGAAAATGCTTAAGAGAAAAATGCTTTGAGGATTTATTTTTCACTTCTCCTTCAAGAGCTTAGAAAATTCCAGATCTATGTTAATCATTCTAGAAGTCATACAACAAAAAAAATAAGACATTACACTGTTTCCTAAGGGAAAAACAGTCAACAAACAACCTAATACTTCAGAAAAAAAAAAAGGCTATATAAAGGGATCCTGGAAACAGTTTCTACCTCTGTTGGAAATTATTTTCCTATTAGTTTTATTAACATTTATCATGACTTAGTTTCCTTACATGCACTGCTTTATTAATTCAAAGACCATTTGGTGTTGATTACATCCAATGAACAAACATTAAGTCCACATACATGTCTGTATTTCAAAATGGTGGCTGCACCCAGCAGTTGGCTTTTGTTTCATGCTAAAGCCCTGACCATAGACTGTTTACTAGCCCATGCCATAGAGGGCATGTACCATCAACCTGTTTTTTTTCCCCCCTCCCTGCATCTATCGTGCTCAGAATGGAAGCATGGCACAGCCACAACCTCTACCCCACCTGCCCTCTACTCTGTTCCCACAGCATATTCAAATAAAGAAAAATTCAGGTATGTGAAATTCAATAGTTTGAGATGAAGTTACAGGAGAAAAAAATGGTTCGTATTCTCAGTTTATATAAGGTAGACATTGGTACTGCATGCCCTTAAAGGTATTAAGACTACAGCTTCCTGCTGAAATAAATATATATATATATGCCCTGTAACACACATTTGTACAGGAAAATAAATTTACCTTAGGAATGGTATATCTGTACAACTCTGACTGGCTTTTCACAGGGTTTGAGAAAGACAAACAGTTAAGGCTTCAAACAATCAATACAAAACCTGGCATATTTTTCTCTGCGTGTTGGCTACTACTTATCACCCTATTAATCTCTATGTGCTTACATATTGATTATTTAATAATTTGTTCTAGTACCTTTCTAGGTATTGCAGTTAGGCTGACTGGTCTATAATTCCCTGGATCCTCCTTGTTCCCCTTTTTCAAGTTAGGTACTATGTTTTCCCTTCTGCAATCCTCTGGGATCTATGGCACCTGCAGTGGCCAGACCTGCAAGGATGGGACCTTTATGAATGGCTGAGTGGCTGGCTAACTTGAAGGGGAAGAAACAGAAAACTGCGGATGAAATGTTTCCAGAACTCCCAAATTGAAAACAGCAGCAAGCTGGAGGTCTGAGAGGAAAAGATAGGGAGATATCAGAGAAAGTTTTGCAGTGGCCAGAGACAGAGTTGCCATGGCGAAAGACAGGGTAGAGAAGGATATACATGCGGCAGCAGCTCTTGGAGGCAATCCAGAATCAGAATGCTCAGCTGCATTGCATGCTCGTAGAAGTCACACAGACAATCGAGTGTCCTCAACCAGGACCCAGCCATGTTCTGCAATCCCTGGACAATACAGGGTACTGGGAACACAGGCATATATTCCCCACATCCCCTAAACAGCCGTTCTCCCAGATACCATTCCCCACTCCAGCTGAAACTTGAGGCAGTGAGAACAGTTTTATCTGGGAACCCAGCTCTTTTAGGCATGATACTTAGAGCCCCAACACATGACCCCGAAAAAGCAGAACAAGAAGAGGCGGAGGCAAGACATATGCTTGCCTGTGAACTGGAACATACCCATTCTTGTGTTTCCCCTCCACCGCACAATGTCACTTTAAAGCAGTATTTCATTGTTTTAATTAAAGGTTCATTTCTGTTTGTTACACAATAAATTGTTTAATAGTAAAAAACTTTAAAAATTCATTTAAAATGATTTGGTAATGCATAGTACACAGAAAAACCGTACCTTTTCCATAAGCCATAGGTTTTTATAAAAATATAAAACACAGATGCAAGATGAAATAAGAAACGCCACCCAAGTACTTATTTGGTATATGCAATCCAGTCAAGCCAAGCCATGCCATGCCACAGTATTCTTATTAGCTATATTCAAGGCCACACATTGAAGGTGCTGCAATGTTCATAATTCATTCCCCACTCCCACCTGGATAACAGCTGCACTCACAGCTGCACATCTTCAGGCCTGAGACTAAAAGTAAAAGCAGTAAGCATCCCTGACAGTACTGCAGGGATCCCCTCCCAGAATGCCAAGTATTTAGGACACACCAAGCCCCCGACATCTGAACGTAATAATGCAAATTGAAGGAAGGCAGTCGTCCCATGTGCATACTACTAGTATGGTCTACCAATATGTGTCAACTCAATGTGAACTAAGGCTTTAGTTACTGTTCCAGGACTATATTGTGTGTGCGTGTGCGCGCGCGCCCAAAAAATGAAATTTGATCGTGCTCATTGGAACCTAGGCAACCATCAACTTCTAGTTCAGTGATCAATTTATTTTTATCTGTCAGAATATCCAATATAGAAATACCCTGAGTTGGTTGGAATGCTTTTTTCTGCTACAGGGCTAATTATATTAGCTGGCTGCAGCCTGCTGGGTCCTTTGCGTGGTCAAGGGGAGTGCAAACTGGTAGGTACTCTCTTGCCTTACATGGCACCCCCAGACTTGGGGAGATGGGAGATGGGGTGTGTGCGTCCAGGGGTAAGAGTGGGGGAACCTGGTTTATTATGGGAGTTCCTAATACACTACGTTTGCTGCTGCTGCTGTTTTGTCAGCAACACAAGCCCAGCTCTTCAGAGTGTTCAAATTCATTTATACTAGGCATGCATCCAAAGGTACAAATGGAAATACTGAAATGAGGAACAGCCTTGTACAGACATGGGTAGAAGACTGTGTGTATATCTATTTTTGTTCAGAAGCTGATCTGGTACTTATTTGTTTAGTACCAAAAATGTGCTCAGTATTGCAGAGGAAAAACCAAAGATAACCCTAAGAGATTACTCTCCACAGGGCAAATGGAAAAGATGAAGTGCCCTATGAGGGTAGTGGCTTGGTGTGTTAGGCTTCCAGTTCCACCAAAGCTTCAATTTACTTAAGGTACTTGTCTGGCCATACTATGAGCACCTTACAGTCTTTAATGTATTTTTCCACGAGGCACCCCTGAGAAATAGGAAGTGTGGTTATTCCTGTTTTTCAGATGGCAACTGAGGCATAGAGAGACTAAGTGACTTATAAGGTCACACAGGAACTCTGTGGCAGAGTAGGGAATTGAACCAAGATCTTCTAAGTCCCTGGCTAGTGTCCTAACCACTGGACCTCCCTTCCTCTTTGAGCATAACATTACAAATATGACACTAACAATAATGGATTAGGCACCACTGCTGAACGTACCTGTCATAATGACAAGATCAAGGAAGTAGAATGGTTGAAGTGATGTTTATAAAGGGACCCTGCCTTGCTCTGTACTTTTAGAAGGCTACTGTGGAAAGAGATGGACAAGACACTGCAAAGCCATATCATTCAATGATCAAAAATGTGTACTCAGTGAGTTGGGTGCAAGCTCAAATGAAGCACCGGTCCACTTTGCCTCTTGGAGTGCCACATATTTTGCAGCACAGAATACTTTACTTTATTGGTGTCTATGAAATAGCTGCATATGACGGAGTTTCTTTGTTTTCCCTGAAAACTCTAAGAAAAGCATTCAGGTTTGGAAATGTCAAAGCGAAGGTTGCCTGCATGATCTAAAATATGTCCCAGTAATTAGACTTTGCTATAAAGCATGACCACAACGAAGCACAGTTATGGTTTAGAATGAGAAAAAAATTAAATTAAAACACTTCCTGACTTTTAGTGCTTCGCTTTGCAGCCGTAATTTTTTTATTCCAGGAATGTATACTCTTTAACAGCTCTTAAAGAACTAATAGAACATGATTAGACTAAATGTTCACTATAGCCTGATTTTGACAATTGAAAGGTTTTCTTGTGAGTTTTTGTGACCAAACACATTGCGAGGAATATAATTTATTCTCCACTTTGGTGATTTTAATAGGATGCCCTCTTCCCCAGTTTCTGAATTCTGAGGATGGATTCTGCTTTTTTAAAATACCAAAAATTAACATGTTTTCCGAAAGTGGTGTGTCTAAGAGAGTAAAACTGAATGTTACAAAAAATAACAGTTAATTTCTTTCTTTACTTTTAGTTCATCTTGTTGATATCTGGAATATGATTGAAGCCTTCCGAGACAATGGCCTTAATACATTGGATCACAACACAGAGATCAGTGTTTCTCGACTGGAAACAATCATTTCATCCATCTACTACCAGCTAAATAAACGCCTTCCTTCGACTCACCAGATCAGTGTGGAGCAATCCATCAGCCTTCTCCTCAACTTTATGATAGCAGCATATGACAGGTTAGTAACTCTTCCAGGTGAATTCCTTTTTTTAAAACTAGTTCATTTATTTGGGCACACTCTGCTTAAGGGCTGCACCTAAATTTTATAAAGTGGAGCAGATTGCACATCTGTAATGTAGTGGTATCTGCGGAAATTTATACATCATGGCAAGCAATGATCAATCTTTAAAATTTTGTTCTTGAGCAAGATGAATCACTGCCTGCTGGGACCTGTATGTCTCTACAGGCCACATATTAGAATTAAAGATAAAGGGCAACAATGTTGTATATGAGGGCTCTTAGCTGGCCACATTTGGTTCCTGGGACATATTGTAGCCAAGCCTTTTTGTGAAATGCTAATTAAAATAGAAAATAACATTAACCTAATGGTAGCATGATTTTGCTGTAAAATCGCATAATAGGAGAGTCTCAAATTTATGTACATGCAGTTTCCTGATTAAATCTGGTGCATAAAAACATGTTAATATAACACATGTTTTGATACTAAGTCTTGATCCCACCTAGAGTTTGCCAAGGAAAGGGCTAACACCTCATCTTCTGACTGATAGAAGGACTACAGTTGTCTCTTCAGAGTGCAGCATTTTCTTTTGGTTTGGTTTGGACCCTTAAACATATGTCCACATCCCTTCCTAGCAGTCTTGTTGCAACAGGGGTGGATCATGTTCATTAGACTTGTTATCTTTCTTTTTAGGCAGAAGGTTTTCTCTGTGGGATCTCTGAATGACAGCTGCAGAGTTCCAACTGTTAATTAGCAGCTCCATGTTTTTTCAGAATGTCATCTATAGCCTTTCATATTGTTTGCTCCCCTAGCTATTCCTTCCTTTCCCATCCTTCCTTTTTTGCTCTTGCCCTCTCCCATAACACTGCCCATCTCATCCATTATGACCAAGGAGCAGAGTTGGAACATAATTTATTCAGAAAGTTACAGCACTACTGTAAAAGTGAAACATCTCTCACAACCCCACACCACCCACAGTGCAATGGACGAGTAGAAAGGCTGAACTGACCTCTGCTGGCTATGTTGAAAACCTTGCCAGAAAAATAAAAGTCCCACTGTAAGAACTCCTTTAAGAAGGCAATCTATGCCTATAACTGTACATGAAATGAGGCTACACCCTTGTATTTATTCTATAGAAGATGACCACATTTGCCCATTGACCTCACATTTGATCTATCTATAAACTCTGACCTGGGGACTTTAAAGATTACATTGAGAGGTGGAGACAACATTTCAGAAGCTTGACAGAAGCTTATAAAATGGCATCATAATGTTCTAAAAAAAGTCTGCTGCTCATGTTAAGAATCACTATGATCAGAAAGTACAATGTGCTGCCCTGTTGCCAGGTGACAGAATACTTGTCCTGAATCTTTCAGAGAGATGGGGACCAGGCAAATTAAGATCCTGCTGGGAAAGTAATATTCATGTAGTATTTCAAAGGAAAAGGGATAGTCCAGTCTATGAAGTAAAAGCAGAAGATGGAGAAGGACGTGGTATAATTCTCCAAAATCTTTTTCTTCCCTGTGACTTCTTACCATTGGAGATTACACTACCCTCTAAACCACCACAATAGACGACCCAGAGAACTAGGCAAACTAGTGCAATAAGAGATCAAAATGGGGACTGGAACTTGGACTCCAGTAATTCTGATACGGAGAGTGAAGATGAACAACATTACATAATGGTACCAGATTTTGCCCACGGCACAGATACTCTGAATCCAGAAGCAGAAACATTTAATCTATGATTGGGAAATAAGGATGATGTTAATCCTGTAAACTTGGAAACTGCTGATCAAACTGATGTAATATTTGCACCAAGCACTGAAAGACATGAATGCCAGATTATGCCAAGGAACCTGAAACCAGTAATGCACAAGAGGGCAGATCACCAGAACAATCCACTGACATTCAAGGTCATCTGACTAGAGGGATAAGAGGCCCTCAGACACTGACATATGAAAGTTTAGGGACACCTACTTGTCAGTATCTAAATCCAACAGTTGGACTGGTGAATACACCACTGGTTGTCTTCATGTTTGTCACATGCCCTACCAAGTGCCTATTCCTGTACCTTATCCTGTTTTCTATACAAGACTGATGTAATATTGATAAAAGAAGTGATATTGACCTAAGGTATGGATATTGCTCTATATCAAGTGTCTTATAGAACTGGATAGTTTGTAATTATGTTAATTTAATACATTTTCTGACTAGCTTGACATATGCACTGTCACTTGGAGCTATATGGTTAAACCACTGATCACATAGGAAATATTATTTCATAAGTAGTTAAGATTTTGTCATGGTATTTTTTAGTAAAAGTCACAGACAGGTCATAGGCAGTAAACAAAAATTCACAGAGGCCTGTAACCTGTTCCTGACTTTTATTAAAAATAACAGGGACAGTGAAGTGGGGACTAACCGCTACTCCAGGCCCACAGCTGCTTCTGTGGCGGGGACTGCCCACTGCTGCTCCAGCCCCTGCCCACTGCTTCAGTCCCCGGGGGGGAGGGGCTGCTCCAGCCCCGCCCCCAGTCGCTGCTCCAGCCCCACCGCTCTGACCAGGGCTGAAGCCAAAGAAGTCACAGAATCCGTGAACTCTGTGACAAAATTGTATCCTTATTCATAAGGTATGAATATCTTCGGGGATTTAGGGTGTTCAGAACTGATTATTTAGTTGGATAGTGGAACTAAAATTGCTGCAGAATCTTTCTGCTTTGTGAAATAAACTGAAGAGCGATGCAGAAACTTTCACCATTAGTTCAGAACTCATGACACAGGAGAGGCCCAAACTGTCAATTGGGAATAACAGTTGTGAGCTTGTGGAATGCGTGGATTACTGCTATTAAGTCAAATGGATGGATTATATGTTTTGTTTTTTTAATGGAAGTGTTGGAATGATATTACATTTACGAGGGAGGGCTATAGCACTCATACGGGAATGTCAGGGTTAGACATTGTGGTCCCAGTGTGAGTCTGTGGCCAAAAGAGCTAATAAAATTGTGGGGTTAATAAACAGGAATCTTGAGTAGGAGTAAAGAGGTTATTTTACCTCTATATTTTGCACTGGCGAAATCACTGCTAGAATGCTAGGTTTCAGAGGAACAGCCGTGTTAGTCTGTATTCGCAAAAAGAAAAGGAGTACTTGTGGCATATAAATTGGTTAGTCTCTAAGGTGCCACAAGTACTCCTTTTCTTTTTGCTAGAATGCTGTATCCAGTTCTGCTGCCCACAATTCAAGGGTGTTGATAAATTGGAGAGGGTTCAGAAAAGAGCCTCAAGAATGATTAAAGGGTTAGAAAACATGCCTCATAGAGAAGCAGGAGGGGGTAGCGATCCAAGGGCTTGATGAGTCTCAGCAGTCTCTCCGTCACATCGTGAATCCTAGCTCCTGGCAAGCAGCAGACTTCTCGGTTTTCCCGGTCAGGGCAGCAGATAGATGACTCAGTCCCCCTGATGAGAGAGTTCCCCGACCACCACCACCCGCCTCCTTCTCTTGGGAGTGGTGGTCGTGGAACCCCCAACTCTAGGACAGCGCATCTCATGCCTTCCAATTGGCGGCATTCCTTTTAGCTTGACAAAGAGAAAGTTAAGGGGTGATTTAATTGCAGTCTATCGGTATCTGTATGGGGAACAAATAATGGGCTCTTCAATCTAGCATAGGCATAGCAGTATCCAATGGCTGGAAGTTGAAGCTAGACAAATTCGGACTGGAAATAAAGCGTAAATTCTTGACCAGTGAGTGCAATTAACCATTGGGACATTTTACCAAGGGCCATGGTGGATTCTCCATCACTGACAATTTTTAAAAGAAGATTAGATGTTTTTCTAAGAATTTGGTCTAGGAATTATTTTGGGGAAGTTCTGTGGCCTGTGCTATACTGGAGGCCAGACCAGATGATCACAGTTTTCCCTTCTGGCCTTGGAATCTGTGAGTTTACCTGTGTCTTGTCCCTTTAAGGATTGAAGGTCTGCTGAAAGGGGCAAAGGGAACAGCTCTGGTTGCAGCAGCAGAGTTGTGTGTGTTCTGAAAGGAATGAGCAGCAATGGGGCTTGTGCAACCAGGGGTGTCTTATTTGTTTGGTTTTTGGTTGGTTTGTTTTATTTATTTCTAAATTCAATAAAACTCCAGTTTCAAAACTCTTCCTGGTGTCCGAGTGAAACACAAGTGGCCCTAAGCCAATCTGAACAGCCTGCTTTTGAAGTAAACCAGTAAACCCCAACATTTTATCAGGGGACTCATTCCCTTAGCCAGTTTTTCAATTTCCAAGGTCAAAGAATTTCTTAAAGCCCAACCATAATGGAGCTAAGCATGTGAAAGATTCCTATGACAGCATATCTAGCACTTCCTCATGTTCCCACTAATGGGATCTCAAGAGCCTGTGTCAGTGTTTTGGACCCTTCTAGAAAGCTGTGTGATACCTTATGGCACTGAACGATCAGAGCTCAAGGCTATTTAACGGATGTGGGAGCCCCAACCCTCCTCACTTCCTTCTGGCTGCTTAGGACTGAGGATATAAGGAACCTCAGAACTGTGTCCATGTCTGACCAAGCCAGACAACTAAGACACTTTTTCTCTTGTACATAGCTTGGTGTTTTAACTTTCTTAGATAATTTCCTAGCTATAAATAGTTCAGAGCAATTTTTCCCCTTTCTGAGTGTGCACCTCTGTTCTGGGATTGATGCCAACCCTTGAGGATCCAAAGAAGATATTTAAATGGTGCAGCTCCTGTCTCAGGATCCTTCTCAAGTTGAATGCTGTCTCCTGATGTGTGTTCTGCCTGGCAGAGGTGGACCATTCTGCCCCTGTGGTCAGATCTGATGTCTGCTTGGCTGCCTTTACTTCCTGATCCAGCAGAGATCATCAGTTAACATTCCAGGCTGGGGCTTTGTGCCATGCCTGGCTCCAAGACATACTACTTCACAGTTGCATGAGTTGACTTTGACACCACCTGTTAAGGTGGGATCCGAGAAGGCTCTTCATCCTGATAGTGCGGAAAGAGCAGATCTTTGGGCTTATTCTTTTTGTTGAGACATCCCTGGCATCAAAGATTGCCTGGGGCTGCTATTTTGCCTGTCTCTTGTCAGTGCAAAAGCACTCCTCAGATTAGAAGCTGTCCAAGGTTCAAGATTCCAGTGCCAGCACTTCATCCTCAATGCCAGCCAAGACCTCTAGACATAGTGCCAGGACAATTGCCCCATGCTCCCAGACATCAGTTCTGATGTTATGGTGTCAAGAACAAATCACAAAAAGCTCCTTCCGAGACCATTCGTATCTTGCCTGCCCGTGTTGAGTCCCCCAGACCCACAGGCCTTCCCCATTTCAGTGCTTCCTGTGCTGTTTAAAGCACAAAGAGAAGAGAGGGCTATTCAAAAAGCTTCTCGGAAAGCACCACCAAAAGAAGCGTCACCAATCCCAGGACTGCATGGTGTCTGTTCCAGTTTACCCCGATGGTACTGTATTTTGACTTTCCAGTACCTTCTCCCTGACACCCTACTACAGTGTCCATTGAACTTAGGAGGCTCAGAGGAGGGGCTGGTTCTTCTTTAGGTGTCCTCTGCACATTCCCACTAATGGATGTGTGACGGATTCCCCCAGGAACTGGGGTACCACTAAGCCCTCTGACCTACCAGCCTGGGCTCCCTCTCACACTGTGCTGCTGTGACAAGCTGCAAAGCCTTCCAAGCTTGCACTTTCACCAGCATTCACACAGGTAGGGACACACCCAGCTGCAGTTACATGTAGGCTCTCTAACCACCAGCTTCCCAGCCTAGGACCCCAGAGCAATACCGTCCTGCCCTGGTCAAATCTGGCCAGTATATGTGTTTAATACCCGGTCCACCTCTCCCTCAAAGTGAAGAGGACCATGCACACTTGTGGTAACCAAGTAGAGATTTTCTGCAGGCACCTTAGTCAAACATACACTGGTTTGGATTAAAACATAAAATAAGTTTATTGACTACAAAAAGATAGATTTAAGTTATTATAAGTGATAGCAAACAGATCAAAGCAGATTACCTAGTAACTAAACAAAAATGCAAACTGAGCTTAACGTACTAGATAGATAGGTTATGAATTAGCAAATTCTCACCCTGAGTGATAAACAGGATGGCAGATTCTTAAGCTGCCTTTGCTTTGCAGCTTGGGTTTCCCAGGTTTTCATGCACAGGCTAGAAATCCCTTTAGTCTGGGAGCATCACTTCCCCCAGTTCAGTCTTTGTTCCTGTGGTATTTCTAGGTGTGTTATCCTACAGGTGTGTTGCCTACTTTATGACTCCTGGATAACACCTGTAGCTAGCAGTGCCTACTTTAAAAGCTGTAGGATAAAGGTTGTTTGAGGCACAAGTGGTGTTCTCTTCCATCCTCCCCGTGGAAGGAAAAGGCCTGGGGAGAGACCGTCGAATCATGGAAGTCAAATCATGGCTATGCAGGTGGTGTTGGAGAGAAGGCTTTGGACTCTTTGACCGTGGGATGGTGTTCCAAGAAGGAGGAGTGCTAGGCAGAGATGGGCTCCACCTAACGAAGAGAGGGAAGAGCATCTTCGCAAGCAGGCTGGCTAACCTAGTGAGGAGGGCCTTAAACTAGCTTAGTTTGCACTGCTATCTAGGGTTCCACTATTCAGGCTGCAAAGGTAACAGCATCATGTGACACCCTGGCACCTTGTTATTCACCACTGTCATATAATTAGGATAAGTTTTACACACAGTATGCCTTGTGAGGTATCATTCCAAAAGTCTTGATCTGCTCGACAGTAATATCTCGTTGGATTGTATGTGCTATTATCATATGTGAAGTTATGAAGTTGGGCTCTGTAGGTGTTACTGAAACGTGTTGTGAGGTTGAAAACACCCACAAGCAGCCTTTCAGGTACAACCGTAAAAAGGCCAAACAATGTTAATGGCTCATTGAGGAAATGCACACAAGCACCAGGATTACCCCAGGAACTGTGTACAGAGACAGCACTAGACAATGGGAACTATTTGACCGAGGTCACAGCAAAAGAGCTTTCCAGCAAGTGGGAAGAAGATATAAAAGGGCACTGTAGGCCTCCTTGGGGAGAGGTCCTTTGTGATCCGATGTGGACTTTCTGTGGAGAACCTGTTCATAGGCACACACAAAGATCATCTCCCCTTGCAATTATCCTTCTTCTCCCAAGTGTTCAGTGGGTACACTCCCTACAGTAATGCCACCAAGTCCAGTCAGAAATCCTGCTACCATCAACATCTCTGGCTAACATCTCTCACGTGCACTCTGAGCACAGAGATTAGGTCACAGCTCCACAGGATGATCCTGGGACACAGACATAATCTCCCCAGGTAACATGGTCTGTTGATCTCTTGCCAGAGTTGACTTCAAAACAGTTCCACAATGTGGTGGCTGGAGCCCTACTGCTGCGGCTCACATTTGTCCCAGCAGTAAAGCGAAGACATCTTCAACATCCTACAGTCCAGAGAAAAAAGGAACGTAATGCCCTTTATCCAAAGGGGGACATTTAGCATCCCTTACCACCATGCTTGCAAAGGCAAAAGATGGATGGTTGTTTTATACCAGGTCCCCCAGGTTCAGTTCTGTTGTTCACCCTCCTACAAATGCATTGGTTATCATAGCAAAGTCTCTGAGAACTTCATTCTCTGCCCCTCCAGACAGGGAAGTCAGAAGATTGGACGCCTTTGGCAGAAAAGTCAACTCTGGGTATTGAGGTGGCAAACTATGTAGCTCCTTCCTTTTCTTGACCAATTGCCATATATCCAGCAGAAGCTGGCTAAGGACATTACCCAAGGAAAAAAAACTTGCCTTCAGCCTCTGAAGGTACCATATGACATTTTTGATGCAGTGGCAAGATTTATAGCCTCTTTACAGACATTCATGGTTGAACTCATCTAGTCTTTCTGTGTTTGCCTAGTTCAAAATTTGTGATCTTCCCTTTGAGGAAGAAAGAACGTTCCGCAATAAAATGGATAAGACCTTACAGCACACTAAGGAGGCAAGGTCAGCTGCGAGAGCTGTATGGCTGATGCAACCTCCCTGCCCAAGAGGAGGTTCTCTTTTTGAGGTTTTGAGTACCAAGATAATGTTTTCTATCTTCCTTTGCACAGATGAAATACCAGTTTCGTAGGCAGCCTCTAAAACAAGCTGCTAAGAGACCATACAGAAATAAAACCAGATGACTGAAATGTTTTTCTGGAGGCAGCCACAATCTTCAGCCTTCCAGCCTCTGTTTTGGTGGGTCTGCTGGGAGTACAGAACCAAATACATTTAGTTTTCTCCCTTTAGAGATCATTTGGTCTAGAGATCATGGGTCCCTACCATCTTGGGAACAGAACATCTGATAATGGGGTCCTGCATGTCATCCAGAATGACTGCCTCCAATCCCCCATTCCTCTTCTGAAATCCTTCTGAAATCTTATTTCTAGAAGAGGTGGAGTCTCCTCTCCAGAAGGAATTTGTTGAAGAGGATCCAAGTTTCCTCCTCCACTTGTATACTATCTTACCTTTTCAGAGTTGCTGTAAGAAATCTGTAAAGTATTATCCATAGCACACAGTACGATATAGATAATTCAGTCAGTCTTTTTATTTAGGATTATAGTGCTCAGAATTTATGTATTGCTTATACACTCTCATGTACATGCTCTCAGTACTCCTAATTTATGTTCAACTCTGACTAAATTAACTCCGTACTGAGCACTAACAATGGCTTTATCCTGAGATTACTGTTCTATATAGCCTCTATAATCCTCTGTTACTATATGTTGTTTGTGTTTCACCTCCTTGTAAAGTGTTTTGTGATTTTTTTTATGAGAATAGTTGTTTTTGCATACCACTTTGTGCTGAATAAAATCTTTCCATTGATTTTATAAGGAATTAGTACAAATTTTTTCTCATGCTGACATTAGGAAATGGTTGCCTGATTGTACCATCTGTTCCTGATAGTGCAGCAGTCTAGGTGCCTTTAATTAGAATAACAAGCATCCATGTTTGTTCCTGTTCTACTCAGAATGTTCAGAATATCTTGTAACCTAACCTGTTTTGTTAGAATACCACTTCTTTCTCTGAGTGTCAGGCAGTGTTCATAAAGAGTTGGAATTCCCGAGAAAGGGCAGCAGTAAAAGCAAGAAACATAATTAAACGGGCTTATTCTAAATAGAAAGGAATGACTCATAATAATCAGGTTCCACCATGTAGTAGGTAGCTGTGGACAGGTAAAACAAATGCAAGCTTCTCTTCATCCATAGAATGCCCATAATTCTGCAAGAGAACGTGATTTGTCATTGGCTACCTGTTAGCTGTTCTAATTGATTGACAAAGCTAAATGTTACTTGTGGCACCTAGATAAGCTATTACCAGCAGGACAGTGGGGTGGGAGGAGGTATTGTTTCATATTCTCTGTGTATATATAAAGTCTGCTGCAGTTTCCACGGTATGCATCCGATGAAGTGAGCTGTAGCTCACGAAAGCTCATGCTCAAATAAATTGGTTAGTCTCTAAGGTGCCACAAGTCCTCCTTTTCTTTTTGCGAATACAGACTAACACGGCTGTTACTCTGAAACCTGTCTAAATGTTACTATCATTTTTTGTATTATGTTCACTGTTAAATAGTTTTATAAAGCATAGCACTTAGGGAAGGCATGAATGAACTTTTCTTCTGACCCTGAAATATTTTTGTTCTTATCCTTCCATAAAGTAATGATTTATCATGTATTTTATTTTGCAGTGAGGGCCATGGGAAGTTGACAGTGTTTTCAGTTAAAGCTATGTTAGCAACCATGTGTGGTGGGAAAATACAAGACAAACTAAGATGTAAGTACTTTCAAGTAAATTTAACCATTATTTTAAATTTTCTATTTCCACCATTAGTCACACAAACTTCGTATTTAATTGTTACGTTTTGGAAAATTAGCTACATTTTTCTTACTTATCCAGCAGTCATGCTACTGGAATGAATCTTATGTTAGTTTAATCTTTTTGGTAATGCATGCCATCTACTGGCTACAGAAGATACTCAGTTTGTATTTAAAAAGTAATATTTTGTTCAAAGAAAGTGAAACAAAACTCCAAAAACCTGAAACTTATTTGACAGTTATCCTTCATAAAGTTTCATTCATTAAAGGCTTGATCCTACTGTACAAATGAAGTAACGGGAAGCTTTGCCATTATCTTCAATAGACACTGGATCATACAGTAGATTAACACAGTATCCGTGTATGGCCTGATAACGTGGGCTATAGGATACAGACTTCTTAAAGCCCTTTTGAACACTTTTCAGGGTTACCTGAGGTGTCCAGAGTGAATCACTACCAACTGCTTACAGTGGGAGGAAGACCTATCTATGCCACCTGGGGAGACTCTCCCCAGCCACTGACTGCTGGCAATACAAATAGACCACAAGCTCTGCTCTTTCCCTCTGCAGCCTAGCAAATTATACACTCCACTTTGTTACACTCAAGTGCCCAGTCCCTTATCTTCTGGACACCTGCAATGTACACCAGTGTGCTGTCTCTGTGGAGGCAGTGCACCTCAGTTCTCTGGTTTCACCTCAGTACAACACTCTCCTGTGCACAAGGCTTTTGGACAAGTCGATGGTAAAACCAAATGGAAGTTTATTTAACCGATCTTAAGATCGAGATTAAAATAAAAGCAAGCTTAAGGGTTTGGAAACATAAGGTTACAAGTAAAAGAAAAACCTAAAAGACACTCTATATAGCTTATACTTTTTCTTATCCAATTGTTAGCTGCTACAGCACTTGTCCACTCCAAAAAGCTGGGATCCATCTTTTACGAGAGATGCTCCTGCTCGCAGAATGCCTCCTCCGTAATGGATCACAACTTGTGTTCTTCTGTCATCTCTTATACAGTTACAGACTAATGCCTCTTACCCAAGAGGTCCACTAATCAGAGTCTTTTAGATCCCCTAATCAGAGTCTTTTAGGTCCCCTAATCAGAGGCTGGCTCAATGGATGTCAGTTGTTCTCAATGTTGATTGAGTGAGCCCTGAGACCCGCCTCAAATCAGGTGACAAGTTTCACTTTAACAGTTTTGAAACCCAATATAAAAAAATGTTACATAACTCTAAAATTGTTTCCTATACAAATATCACTCAATAACCATGACAATCAGTTATTTCACAAACAACAGCCTTAGGAGAAATATTGAAAAGATGGTCAGACATGGGTAATATACGTGCCTGGGTATGTATGGGCATGTTTGTGTCACACCTTTTAAAACAAATTCTTGATCTCTCTCCCTGTTTAGCAAACCTTACAAAATATGACAGGAACAAAGAAGGGAGGCTGGCATCATTGTGGGAATAAAGGTGTTTGATCTTATATTTCCATATTTTCAAACTATTTTGGGTTTCTTTAAAGTTTAAACTTTAGTTCAGAATTTACTGAGCTTTTAGTCCTAGAATCATAGGGCAGGAAGGAACCTTGAGAGCTTATCAAGTCCAGCCCCCTGCAGTGAGGCAGGACCAAGTCAACCTAGACCATCCCTGGACAGGTATTTCTCCAACCTATTCTGAAAAACCTTCAGTGATGGTGTGAGAGGGAGCTTGGAGGACTAGTCGGACTAGTGGTTGGAGTACTTGATTTTCTGCCCCCTGCTTCTGTGGTCGAGGTGCCTCAGTCCTGAAGGCAGGGGAGTAGGGGGATCCAGGCCCTTCCATTCCACTTGGTCCCAGCCCAGGGCCCTGTGTAAGTTAACCCCTGAGTAGGGGACCTCCCAGCGGGGAGTCCACATCTGCTGCACTAGGCTACTTCCTACTGTTTCCCCTTCAGGGCATGGCCCCTCTAATCCAAGTTCCTTTGGTGGCTTGGTTCTAGTAGTGCCCTTTCGTGGACCCTGGGTGGCGTCCTGCTGCAGTCACAGGTTCCTCCAGGTGTGGAAGCCGTAAGTTTGGTGGGATCAGAACCCCACATGGGCTCTGTGCTTTCGCCACCCAGGTGCCTCTTAGGCTGGGTGGTCCTAGACCTCTTTGTCTCCTTTGGCCAGGAAGAGGGTGCTTGGCTCCTGGTGGCTGCCTCAACTGGCCGGGTAGTGCTCCTTCCCTCAGGAAGGGAAGCAGCGAGCTCCTGCCTTTTCGCCAGTCAGCCTCAAACTGAGCCAGGCTCTCTCCTTTTCTCTCCCTTCCAAGCCTGGTATGGGCTGCAGGTATAAGGGGGGGCGGGGCTAGCTGGGCCCAAAGGCTCTCTTTAACCCCTTCCATGCTGGTGGGTGTTTTTTCTGCTTCACCACAGATAGGGATTCCACAACCTCCCTTGGAACTCTATTCCAGAATTTAACTACTCTTATAGTTAAAAAGTTTTTCCTAATATTTAACCTCAATCTCCCTTGCTAAAGGTTAAGCTCATTACTTCTTATCCTACCTTCAGTGGACATGGAGAGCAATTGATCACAGTCCTCTTTATAACAGCCTTTAATATATTCGAAGACTGTTATCTGGTCCCGCCTCAATTTTCTTTTTTCAAGATTAAATATGCCCAGTTTTTTTTAAGCTTTCCTCATAGGTCAGGTTTTCTAAACCTTTTATTATTTTTGTTGCTCTCCTCTGGATTCTCTCAAATTTGTCTGCATCGTTCCTAATGGATGGCCCCAAAACTGGGGACGCAACTCCAGCTGAGGCCTCCACATTGCAAAGAAAAGCAGGACAATTACTTCCTGTGTCTTACATATGACACTCCTGTTAATACACCCCAGAATAATATTAACCGTTTTTGCAACTGCATCACATTGTTGGCTCATGTTCAATTTGTGATCCAATATAACCCCCAGATCCTTTTCAGCAGTACTATCACTTAGCCAGTTGTTCTCCATTTTGTAGTTGTGCATTTGATTTTTCCTTTCTAGCCCAAGCACTTTGTATTTGGCTTTATTGTATTTCATCAGGTTGCTTTCAGACCAGTGTACCAATTTGTCAAGGTCCTTTTGAATTCTAATAATGTACTCCAAAGTGCGAGCAACCCCTCTGAACTTGGTGTCATCCACAAATTTTATAAGCATACTCCCAGTATCATTATCCAAATCATTAATGAAAATATTGAGTAATATCAGACCAAGGATTGACCCCTGCAAGACTTCCGTAGATACACCCTCCCAGTTTGATTGCAAACCATTGATAACGACTCTTTGAGTACAATCTTTCAAACAGTTGTGCACTTATAGTAATGTGATCTAGATTACATTTTCTTAGTTTGCTTATGAAAATGTCATGAGGGACTGCCTGTCAAAAGCCTTATGAAAATAAAGATATATCACACCTGCTGCTTTCCCCTCTGTCCACTAGGCCAGTAGCACTGTCAAAGAAGGAAATTGGGTTAGTTTGGCATGATTTGTTCTTGACAAATCCATGCTGGTTATTACTTATCACCCAATTATCCTCTAATACTTACAAATTGATTGAATAATTTATTCCAGTATCCTTCAGGTATTGAAGTTACGCTCACTAACATCTGATGAAGTGAGCTGTAGCTCACGAAAGCTCATGCTCAAATAAATTGGTTAGTCTCTAAGGTGCCACAAGTACTCCTTTTCTTTTTGCGAATACAGACTAACACGGCTGTTCCTCTGAAACCTGTCACTAATCTGTAATTCCCCAGGTCTTCTTTGTTCTCCTTTTAAAAGACAGCTACTATGTTCTCCCTTCTCCTCCCCTCTGGAACCTCACCTGTCCTCCATGAGTTCTTGAAGATAATTGCTAGAGGTTCTGTGATTGTTTACACTAGTTCCTTAAGTACCTTAAGATGTTGACCTGAATACATTTAACTTACCTAAATATTTTTTAACCTGTTCTTTCCCTATTTTTCGTTTGCTTTTCTTCCCCCTGCTTGTTAATATTAATTGTGTTGCATATCTAGTCATCATTAAACTTTTTAGGGAAGACTGAAGCCAAATAGGCATTAAACACATCAGCCTTCTTGATATCATCAGAATTAGCTCTCCTTCCCCACTAAGTGGAGAACCTATCCTTCCCTTTGTCTTTCTCGAGCTCTTAATGTATTTAAAGAACCTCTTTTTATTGCCTTTATGTCCCTTGCCAGGTATAACTCATTTTGTGCCTTCCTGATTTTGTTCCTACATCCTTGCACTATTATTTTGTACTCCTCCTTAGCAGTTTGTCCATGTATCCACTTACTGTAGAGACTTTTTTGATTTTTGGGTCACTAAAGAGCTCCTGATGGAGCCATGCTGGCCTCTTACAATTCTTCCTATCTTTCCTTTGCCTCAGAATAGTTGGCAATTGTATATTTAATATTGTTTCTTTGAGAAACTGCCAGCTGTCCTGAACTCTCTTATCTCTTTTATTTTCTTTCCGTGGGACCTTAGACGTTCTCTGAGTTTAACGTCTACTTTTTTGAAGTCCATTGTCCTTATTCTGTTGCTTTCACTCCTTCCTGCCTTTAGAATCATGAAATCTATTATTTCATGATCATTTTCACCCAAATTACCTTTCATCTTCAGATTTGCAATCAAATTTTCCTTGTTAGTCAGAATCAACTCTAAAATGGCTGTCCCCCTGGTTACTTCCTCCACTTTCTGGAACAAGAAGTTGTTCCCAACACAATTAAAGATCTTACTGGAAATTTTCTGTTTTGCCATATTACTTTTCCAAGAGACGTCTGGGTAGTTAAAATCCCCCACTACTGCCAGGTCTTGTGTTGTGGATATTTCTGTTGTTTGTTCTATAAATCTCTCACCCACTTCTTCCTCTGGTTTGCTAGTGTATAGTAGACCCTTACTGTGAAGTAGGAAGGAGGCAGTAGTGCATAGGAAACTCTGTGCAAGCCCGGGACCCAGTATGAGGC